AATAATAATAATAATAATAATAATAAATCACTGATACCGATTGTAAACAAACGACGTTTACAATCTTGTGTACAATACACGTATGTTACATCAAGATGAAAGTACTTTGGAGGGTCTCGCCATGTAAAAAGTAATTAGAGACAAAGCGTGTGACTTGATGCGTTCGTCGTGTCTCATTCTATTCCCATAAACATTGGTCAAAATTAATCGATATTTAATTGATTCCTGCCTCTTTCTTGATTATTAAAATTTGATTTGAAAGAATGGCGACAACTGTCAAATCATTTAAATTTAGGAGAATCAATTTCAGATCTTTAATCTGTAATTAAGCTAAAGAAACGAGGAATCAATTAAATTTCAATGAAGGATTCTAATAATTTAATACGTTTTCAAAGAAATCTCGAGAAACTTGAAGCTCTCGAAGCTCCAATTCAATTGATATATTTTATTGATGTATTTTGATATTTATTTTAAAACGGAAAAAACTATTCTCGAGCGACTTACGAAAGCGTCACACTGAATCCTTCAATTTTAATTAATGTTCAGGAATAATTATACACACAATAACGAGTTCGATGACTCATCTTCTTGCGCACTGCCAATAAAACAGTATTTCAAGCGCGAACGATAACGAACCTTTTGGCGATTATCTAAACCCTCTGGATCTCGAACAGCTTGACGTCTGTATCATACCATATGGGTGGTTCGACATTTCTCAAATATATAACACCCCACATATATGTGCGAAACCACGCGGTCGTGCCGGGATTAGCCTGATATCGCCTGATGAGAATAGGATGCGGCACTGGTAGTAACCCGACAAGGGTACCGTGTTGCAGAAACTTCAGGATTTCGCTCTCGTCTGTCAGCCCCCTATTAAGATCAATAAAAGAGAACATATAAATCTGAAAATGAATGTTGTTATTTATACAAAATTCTCTAGCGAGATTTGCATCGATGGACAACATTCTGAGATCAATAACCTATGCTTGTTATTTATAAGAATGCTCGCTCACTTGTCGATGCAGATTTTCTCAACCTGTGGAACGAGGACTTGAAGCAATCGCATGATGGTTTGCAGAGGAAGCTTGCTCTTCCACTGATACACCCAATCACTAGACGGCACCCACTGATTAACGTTATTGATATTGTTATTACTCGCTTGCTCAGCCACACGAATACCACCCTTCTGGATAACGAATGAATTACGATTGTTATTATTGATTGGATTTATTAATCAGATGTTCATATATCGATTTTTGTACTATTGAATGTCAATGGAATTTTTTTCAATTAAGATTTCAGTTAAGAATAAACAATTATCTGTTCCTTACCGGTACCACGGAATTCTTGGTCGCGTTCATTAATTCTTCCGCGATATCTTCCGTCTTGCTCTCTCTCTCCGATCGATTAGTAATTAATTTATTAATGTCAATACTGACCGATGGACTCAGTGGATGCGCAGATTCTTTTTCCGTCATGTTCTCAATACCTGTTAATTTAACAAATTTATATTATTTTTAAATTTGAATTTCTATCCAATAATATTGTTATATATTCTCAAATTTAGATCTATAAACTTAATTGTTATTCTACATATAGGAGACTCACCGGGAGTCTCCAACAAGGATGCCTTCAAGGTGCCGGGTTCAGCAGGTTGCGCGGGATGCGACCCTTCCATTGCGGCCTCGCTGACGTTCTCGTTGGACGTACTTGCAGGCATGTGACGACGCTGCCTCTTACTAAGAGATTTCGCGATTGTATTGCAATCACTGGGCAAATTCGCGAGAGCGTGGAATACTTGCCGTTTGCGTATTATAGTATAAACTAAGTTGCTGTTTCCATCAAATTGATACTGAAAGTCGAAAGTAAATAATAAGTCTAAATTTATATTATTTATTTATAATATAATAATAGTATAAAAACTGACCCATATTCCTAAATTATACATGTAGCAAAATTAATAACTAAACATTCAAATAATTTCTATTCCAAAACATGCAAAAATATTTTTCTTTCCATTATTTTTAATAAAACAAATTTATTAGAAAATATAAAAAAATAAACTGTAAAATTAATAAAAAAAAGATTAATTCTTTTTCACACAAAATTTGCGAACGCTAATGCTACATAAATTACACTTTTTTTTTACATTTTTAAACATCTTGTATAATTGAGAAAAATAGATTATATATTGTGTGATTATATAGATGCACATTTAATTGTGCATTTTTTGCGAGCGCATTACCTGAATAATATTGTTAAAGATCTCGAGCAAAAAGAACACCAAATGGTGATTAGTGGGTGCTGAGAAAAGGAACCATGGTGTACTAAATGCCTCCAACAAATGTAGCAGTTTTGTGCTAGCCACCATAGACAGTGTTTTAAGATACGGCGACACATTGACTAGAATCGTTAGTAGACAGTCGAATAGCGGTTGCAGTCTTTGATGGCCAGTCGTGATGATTTTATGAAATACAGTGACTAAGAGATCAGCATGCGTTCCTGAAATGAAATTATTATCATTTTTAATATGACAATTTAATAATTAATGATTTTAATAATTGACTTTACAATTAAAAATACAAATCTGCAATCAATACTATTACGTTTTTAAATTAATATATTTAAAATAGTTTTCTGATTCTTAAAAACGATAAATATAATTATCACACCTGTAAAAACAGGAATATCCATAGGCACTGTAGCTGTATAGGGTTTATTCAACCTCACTCCGAAATTGCGTTCTCCACTCAAGAGAAGTAAAATAAATACACCGATGTGCATTAAACCAACTCGTGCTAAAAATATGGAAAAGCTAAATATATACATAATCTACTTAATTAAAAATATAATTCATTTAATATATTACGTCTCCAATCAAATTCTGAGATATTTTAAATTGCATATTTCTCCTGAAGAAATCATCAATTACCATATATGTAATTAAATGTTGAATTAAAGCAGTATGATATAAATATAAATGAGTAAAATAAAAAACAAAGAAATAAAAACTTACATTGGTCAGCACGC